GTGCTCCTATAGCAAACCGTTTGCTATGGAGGCACTGGAGTGGGCTTGCTCCTGAGCTGACTGTGTGTGTTTCTTCCCCCTAGCCCTCTGCTCACTGGTTGTGATTGACAGAAGCAGGAACCAATGACTATCACTGCTGCCTCCATGTCTAGTGAGGAGAGAGAGCACAAGGAGAGCCACTGCTTGTGCACAGCTCTGGGTCGAGATCGGGCTCAGATAATTTTAAGAGGGGCTGTTAAGGATCCTATGCACAGAAGATTTTTTTACCTTAATGCATTAGGGGAAAAAAAAAACCTTCTACCTTTAAAAACACTTTAAAGCTGAATTTCAGCAAACAGCTAAACGCGCAATACATATATGACAGCTGTTTTACCGATCAAGGGATGTGTATTTCTGTCCATCAAGTCCTGACATTTAAACAGCCCTAACAGGCAGTGGAGCCAGGGTGGTTTTCTCTACTGCATCTAAGAAATTCAGTAGAAAGTCATTTCCCTGGCCCAGGCCTGTGATTGGACAATGAAAGAGCAGCAGCACACTGATTATCTCATTTATCTGCTCACTGTGTTCTCTTCTGTCAGCATGTTTTATGTGCATGTAGAATGCCTGATTTTTTCCTAGTGCTGTCCCTCCTCCTATAGTCTTTGCTTTACAAGGGATTCTGAGGCTGGCAACAAGTCAAATTTACTTACATAGTTGTATTTAAAAATAATTACAATTTTTTTTTTAATACATCATAGATTTTTTTATCTTCATGGAATTATGCTTTAAAGGTTATCCAGTGACTTAATGTACAGTTGCCGTAAAAGAAAAGCTAATTCTTATTTTCTGCTGGCTAAATATACAAAGAAAATGTAATCCTCTGTTCTTGTACACACCAATTATATTATATATACTGTAAGACATCCATCTGTTTCATATAGCTAGCATATTTGATTAGGTAGATTGGATTAGACAAATTATAGTAAACATTTATTTTAATGTTACTTAAGAGGTTTGCTTTCAAATAAAAAAAAAAACATCTATTCAGATCAAATCATCTAGAAGCCTTGCATTTCATCAGCTGCAGCAGTTATTACACAAATTTAGTCATGTGAAAAAGTAAGTACACCTCATGGAAATTATTGCCTTTTTCAACGATTAACAGACAAACATTAGATCTTCATTCATACAGTGTTTACAGGTACAAATGATGGTGGTTCTACAGGCAAAACATATTTTACCTGAATGCATTCCCTTCATTAAAGTGGTTGTAAAGGCTGAAGGTTTTTTACCTTCTATGCACGAAAGTAAAAAACCTTCTGTGTTCAGCAGTGCCCCCAGCCCCCTCATTACTGACCTGAGCCCCATCGCGATCCATCGATGTGCACAACAGTCTCAGCTATCCCAAGTCTCTGCCTCCTCATTGGCTGAGACAGCAAGTTGGAGCCATTGGTTCCCACTGCTGTCAATTATAGACAGCCAGCCAATGAGGAGAAGGGGGCGGGGCCATTGACTCCTGCTGCTGTCAATCAAATCCTGTAAGGAGGGAGTGGAGGGGCTGGGCCGAGCTATGCTGTGTGTGTCTATGCAAGCACACAGTCTGGCTTGGGAACGAGCCCGCACCTGCGCCCCTATATCAAGCAGCTTGCACATGCAAAAGAGGAGCCTAGAGCACCAACGGGGGACCCCAGAAGAGGAAGTTAAAGGCCGTTCTTTGAAAAACCATTGCACAGAGCAAGTAAGTTGTTTTTTTTTTTAGAAAAAAACAAATCAAGCCTTTACAACCACTTTTTACGTGAATAAAACCACATCATTTGCCTTTTATTGATAGTATTTATTGTATTAGGAGACATTATTTTAACTTATTTATGATTAAAGAGCATAGGCCCAGATATAAGACTCAGTCACTACATCCCCATTAAATATATGAAAAACCAGATACAAAAGGAGAAACAGGAAAAAGGGATTTCTTCGGCACTTGTGCCTTTTCTCAGAAAAAAATAATTATTTTAACTTATTTAACAGAAATATTATTTGATGCAATGGTGCACTGTGAAAAACGTAGTATACACTTACTGGTACCGCCCCCATTAGCAGAAATGACTTGCACAGCAGAAATGACTTGTACAACCACCCACCATTTTTTATCACATTTGAGAATTTTTTGACCAAAAATGTCTTCAGTTGCACAATATTTGTGAGATTCCTTGCATGAACTGACCTGTTCAATCCTCCCACAACATTTCAATGGGATTCAAATTGGGGATTTGACTGGAAAAATTCCTAGCCCTCCATTACTTTTTTCTGATCCTTTGTGTATTTTCTGGTGTGCTTCTGATGATTTTCTGATTTAACTGTAACTTTTAAATAGATGGTCTCACATTCTCATTAAGTACACTTTTATATGATATAGAATTCATCATTGGCTTGATGACTGCATGCTGCCCAAGCCCTAGAGGAGCAAAGGAAACCTCAAACCAAAATATTTTCACCATCTTACTCCACAGTTGGTATGAGGTTCTTCTGCTGTAATTAGTTTGTGCCAAACATGTCTACTGTTGCTATGTGCAAACGACTCTGTCTTTGATTCATCAGTCCACAGCACATTGTTCCAAAAGGCCTGGTATTAGCCAATATATTCAATGGCAAACTGTTGCTGCAAAGTTCCTTTTGGACAGCAAAGGCATTTTCCTGGCACACTTCCCATTCAGGTTAAAGTGGTGCAATTTTTTTTTTGTAGATGTTTGCACTTTGACACTAACTGTTGTAAGAGAAGTGTTACCTGCTGATCCCACAATTACATTTTGTGATTCTCACTTTTGAGCCTGATATGCTACGTCAGCCAGTTCAGGACAATTTTGCCGTTGATGGAAAGTTATGTTACAGTTCAATTTCCTTAGTTTGTAATTATTAATTCCAAATAATTTGGTGAACTTTTTAAAACCCTTGCCCTTGATTTAAAGGCATCAGCAATCTAATTTCTGGGGGCTTTAGAAACTTTTTTTGATCTTGGCATGATGAGAACACATGTCTATAAAACAGCAGATCCTATATATCTGTGGTTCAAATATGACAGATTCCATCTGCATACTCCCTAAGGAAGTTCTAATCATTGGAACCTTATATGGAAGATTTAAGGTTTGCCGGTTCAGAGATTTTGAAACAGTCAACAATTTCCATGGGGTATAATTACCTTTTCTTATGCCTATAACATGTGACACAGTGTGACACATGACTGCAGTATTGATGTTGAAATTGCAAGATGATAACAGCAGCAAATTTCTCCTAATTGTAAATATCCTCTGTAGATAACTCCACTGAGATTTGCATGTCAGTTTCAGGAAGAACATTTAACAACAAACAAAACTACATTTTTAACATGCAAGAAAGTAAATATCATCCACCAAAGTCTTAAATAGCATACCTGCTAGAGTAATGGCAATAGACACCGAAGCAGAGCCTAAAGCATTAGTGGCATTACAGGTGTAAAACCCAACGTCAGCTTCAACTGGCTCTAGTATTTGCAGGGTATCATCTGATTTTAGGAGAATCCTGTTTAAACATAACAATGACCACAAGATTAAAATTATGTAAAATAATTGTAACATTTAAAAAACAGATCTTCTTAAAGTAGACATTTGGCTCATTCAAATGTTTACATATGCTAGAGAAGCAGTTGCTAAACTTCGAAATGAGCCCTCACTGACCTTTCATCCTCAAAATTTGCAGCTGAAACGTCTCCCTTTTAGCTTCTATTCTAGCTCACCTAACCCTCTGAGCAATGACATAACTACTGTCAGCCTTCATTCTCTCATATATACACGGAGTAGGTGCACAGGAAGAGAGGAGAGCTGAGTGTTGAGATCCAACATAAATAACTTCAGTGCTTCTATTGTGATTGTTGAGCATGAATTGCTTCACAGTGGATGTAACTTCAAAGGTCAATAAGGGCTTGTTTTAAAGATTATTTACTGTATGTTAAGATTATATAAATATTTAAATGTCCAAAGCGTTTGGGATGACTTGGTCTTCAACACATACAATGAAATGTAAACAAATCAACTGTAAAGTTAAATATATCTTACAATACTGTTTTAAATTTTGTATAAAATGGGAAAGGAATGGAACTACTGTCAGGTTTTTTATTGCTGTCTGAGCCTTCCTTTGTTGGTTACAATTAGCATTTTATCAAATAGTATGTGTTTTTGACTTTTCTTTGCTAGACAGTAGTTTTAATGTTCAACAGAAAATATTCAGTTTCCGTTAAGGACATATCTTGTGTTATTATATATCAGTTAGGCATTCAGAAAGTGAATGCTTAGTTTAAACTCTAATTATAAAGAGAAAAATATATTTAACATCCATTAGGAATATCAATAAACAAACTGCAAAACTCATGGTTGGTAATGCTAACATCATTTGGTATCAGTGGTACATCCAAGGCATGGCAGGAATGACATGTTCCCTAGGTACCACTCAGCAAAAGGCCCTAAAGAATCCTGTGATAGCCCTAAAATTGTCTGGGACAGGACTATCTTTGTGGGAGGAGACAGCTTTGTTATGTGACTGGAGCCAAGCTGAGACTATACCATGTGATCTGCTGCTGTATTCTGAGCAGTGTGAGCTGAACAAGAGGACTAAAAGAACAGGCAGGTAAGGATGGTGGCTTCTGATGTAAGGGGAGATCCTGGTGTTGATGGGGACTCTGATGTGAGGAAGGCTCCGGATGTGAAGGGGGAGGATTCTGATGTGATATGGCCTCTGATGTGATGTAGGCTCTAATGCATAAGAGGTTTGGATGAGATGGAGGCTCCTGTTGTGAGAGGGGGCTCTGACATGATCGGGTTCACTGATGTGAAGGAGGCATCTGATGTGAAAGAAGGGACACTGATGTATGGAGGAGGGTTTTGATATACAAGGTGGATCCTGATATGAAGGGGGAATTCTGAAATGAACGGTGCTATATGCATTTTTCTGCAGATACACCCCTGTCTTTCAATATCTGTATATATGTATTTTTACTACCTGTTACTGTATTTCACTTCTTCTCCATTCTTTGCCCAGCTTATAACTGGTTTAGGGTTTCCTCCAGCTTCGCAATGAAGTAGCACACTGAGGGTTCCACTAGCCAGTGCCACAGTTTGTCCAATATGGGTAACAACCTCAGAAGCGGAGAAATGTTGGGCTGCAGATATCTTTCGAAGAATAACTGGCTTCCTGTGAGCTTGGCCTGGGAGAATTTCATGTGGTTCAAGTACTTCTGCTTCCATTGATGATGACCTCCAAGAGCTAGAAAAACCAGACACAGGTTTATACAACGAATGCTCTGAAATTCCTGGACCAAGTTGTTTAGGCTCAGGCTTGAAAACGGGTGGTCCATGGTTTTCTAGACGGCTTTTAACTAGCTCATGAGCCAGCTGTAATAAGAGATGTTTGCTGTTGTCATGGAGTTCACCAGGTTGCTGGGACAATAACCGTATTACATCTTCTACATGCTTAACATCAGTAACAAAAGTATTAGGTACAGTATTCTCCAAACCATGATCTTCCTCAGAGGAGATGTTTCTTTCAAAAGATTCTTGAGGGTCAGATGGATCCATGTGATGGTCAGACCAGGGTTTTAGTGCCAGAAGACGTGAAACAATATTATCATAGCGGCTACCAGGATCCGTTATCTGCATCTGCTTTTCAGTTTTGCTTCGGTTAAAAAGATTTGAATTTTGTTGCTTTTCTGGACGATTAAAAGAATCATTCTTTCTGTGTTTTTTAACAGTGTCTTCTTCTCTATGTCTGGAAGTCTGAGAAATAATTTTATTGTTCTCTCCAATAAGCTTGATCACAAAATGTTCTTGGCTAGGTCCAGCCATGCATGTGTAGACTCCAGTGTCTGATGGCCTGAGATGATGAATTTTAACATATCCATGTGGTGCCACAGTAACATGCTCTGAACTGATCAAGTGTTTTCCATCTTTCTCCCATATAATTTGAGGTTTACGAAACCTACGCACAGGACACCTAAGTACGAGAGAAGTCTTTGGCAGGAGGTAAGCATAGCCACCAACAACAAATTGAAGCTTCTTCTGCTTTTTGGTTTGTATGTAGATTTTTTTCAGACCAGATATTTGAGGGTTTGTCTTCTGGCCAAGCCAAGGTCCTTAAAATATAAAAAGTAAAACTTAGTGCACATATATCTAATACAAGAATCTTCATCAATGACCTTGAAACTTTATCTTTATTGTTTACTTAAATAGATAACTGGTAGTGGTTCAATATGCCTGTATCTAGCTGCTCGCACATCTTCTTTCCTTAAGAACTATAGCTGAATGCATTTATAGTTTTGAGCAGTATGGGAAAGGGTTAGAACTTTGGTCATATTTTTAATATGGTCTGTGTCTGCAGGAGACATTTCTCCACTTTTTTATTTATGTGGCACCAAGAAAAATATGGGACACAGATGTTGCCAGGGCACGAAAGCACAGACAGCAATAAAAAAAACAAATTAAAAAAATAAAAAAAGGTTCTAAGCTTTCCCCACAATACTAATGCCAGTCAGGAAGAAAACACCATGGCAATAAAAATCTGACAGAGGCTCTACACCGTACTCACTCGAGTCACATCAAAAAAGTTTTGGCTAGAGTTGGGCATTAAAGGAAAATATGAAGGCTTATTTTTCTGACCTCTCTCTTAAAAAAAACTCTAGGTGTCTGGCTAGATCTTGCCTTCTGAATCACTAACTCAATAAAAGCATTAGTGACAAGTGAACCTGGCTGGGGCAGTTCTTTGTGGAACCCAGGAGAAATGATTTTTAATTAAAGTGGAACTAAACCCTCCAATCATTTACAGACTAGGCCATCTTAGTCTCTGTGTGATCTGCAGTTGCTAGAATGCTGCACATGTGCTATGACAGCAGCTATTTAATGGATTGACAGTTCAAATGAGAGCTAACATAAGCACACTAACTGTAACAGTTATCATTCACAACATGCCCTAAATGTAACTGTTTTGGGAAATAGTTAAATCAGTGGGATTAGTTACGCTTTATGTTTTTGACATAACTAATTTGGTTATATCATTTTGTCTAATGTTTGTAAAATAACCAAGTAAAGTTCAAGTATAATGTTCTTCTGACTATAATTCAGCACAGAATATTATGGAAAAAATCAGCAGAATTAGTATGGAACAATCATATAAAAAAAAAACAAATAAAAGAACCTGCCATTACTTGTGCATGGTGCTGATGAACAGGACCGAGTCATCTGGTGTGGCATTGAATCTGTACATAAAGTGGAATTCACCACAATATATTCTCCAGTTTTCACCTTCCGTTTACAAACAGCTCCTTGTATTTGCGTTCCCTCTCCACATGAAACTGAACACTATACAGGTACAGTAAAACGAAACAGAACATATTATTACATAAAAATAGAATATCATTCATAAAAGGATGGCATTTTATTGGTAGTATGGCTGGAAAACTGTGTGAATATTCTGCAACAAACACAATCCACTTTCTCATGGATAGGCAAAAATATCTGTGAAGCATTAAAAAAGTTCTGTTTAAATTTGAATATTACAGACCTGAGACCAGTCATTTAGAGACCACTCTGGTGGACAGTCTTCATTGTGGCATAATTCCTGTGTTGCAGACTTTGTAGATGAGCAAAATGTTTCAGGGAGTTCCAAGATGCTGCCATCAGAAAGCCTTTGTTTGCAGAGGACCTCCCGAGCCCGAATGCCCCCACCACAAGACTGAGAGCACTGCAGAATATTAAAAGCATAATTGTATGAAAATAGTCTATTGCAACCATTTAAGGAGGAGCCATTTATGCAACTGTTAGCAAAATGGATTGGAAAGCACTTTCTTACAGCTGTATATGACAGAACACAATGGGAGGAATTTACTTAAACTGGTGCACTCAGAATTGGGTGCAGCTGTGCATGGTAGCCAATAGGCTTCTAACTTCAGCTTGTTCACTTAAGCATTGGCAATAAAACCTGGAAACTGATTGGTTCCTATGCAGAGTTGCACCAGATTTTGCACTTTCCAGTTTTAGTAAATACACTGTGTTCCAAATTATTATGCAAATTCTATTTAAGTGTCACAAACATTAAATATTTAGTTTTTCAGTTTAACTCATGGATGGCATTGTGTCTCAGGGCTCTTTTGATCACGGAAAACAATCTCGGACACCTGTGATAATTAGATTGGCCAGTGAGACCAATTTAAGGAAAAACTACTAAAGGACGGTGTTCCACATTATTAAGCAGAGCACCATTTTCAAGCAATATGGGGAAGAGAAAGGACCTCTCTGCTGCCGAAAAGAGTGAAATAGTTCAATGCATTGGACGAGGTATGAACACATTAGATATTTCACGAAAATGTAGACGTGATCATCGCACTATTGAGAGATTTGTGGCTGATTCAGAGCACAGACAGGTTTGTGCAGATAAAGGCACATTGAGGAAGATTTCTGCCAGATCCATGCATCGGATCAAGAGAGCAGCTGCTAAAATACCATTACATAGCAGCAAACAGATATTTGAAGCTGCTGGTGCCTTTGGAGTCCCACAGACATCAAGGTGTAGAGTCCTCCAGAGTCTTGCAACTGTGCATAAACCTTCTATTCGGCCACCAATACCCAATGCTCACAAGCAGAAACAGCTTCATTGGGCAGAAAAATACATGAAGACTAATTTTTCAAAACAGTCCTGTTCACTGATGAGTGCCGTGCAACCCTGGATGGTCCAGATGGATAGAGTAGTGGATGGTTGGTGGACGGCCACCCTGTTCCAACAAGGCTGCGACATCAGCAAGGCGGTGGTGGAGTCATGTTTTGGGCCGGAATCATGGGAACAGAGCTGGTCAGCCCCTTTAGGGACCCCGAAGGTGTAAATATGACCTCTGCAAAGTATATGGAGTTTATGACTGACCACTTTCTTCCCTGGTACAGAAGGAAGAACTATGCTTTCCATAATAAAATCATCTTCATGCATGATAATGCACCATCTCATGCTGCAAAGAATGCCTCTGCATCAATGGCTGTTATGGGTATAAAAGGAGAGAAAGTCATGGTGTGGCCTCCATCCTCCCCTGACCTCAATCCTATTGAGAACCATTGGAGCATCCTCAAGCAAAAGATCTATGAGGGCGGGAGGCAGTTTACATCCAAACAGCAGCTCTGGGAGGCTATTCTGACATCTTGCAAACAAATTCAAGCAGAAACTGTCCAAAAACTCACAAGTTCAATGGAAGCTGCTATCAAATAAGGGGTCCTATGCTAAAATGTAACGTGACCTGTTAAAATGTTTAAAAAGTTAAAATATTGTTAGAAGTTTGATTGAAATAGCTTTTGATTTCAGTAAATATGCTGCAAACACAACAAATGACAATTTTCAGTTCTTTACAACCTATAAGGTGTTTTGAAACTTACTGTGCGTAATAATTTGGAACGGTGCATTGGAAGCTTTTTATGTTTAAAAAAAATCCTGTTATCATTAGGAGGTTTGTTCAATAAAATGTGAATTGTACTCTTAATAGTTTATAACATGAGAATTATGCTGACTGTTATTTACATCAATTATTTAGGTAAATGAGAAAAATATCATTTGCATAATAATTTGGAACACGGTGTAAACCCCAATGGAATAAGATTATAACCTTCCAAACTTAGAAAACAATGCAAACAACTAACTACCGTATTTTTCGCTCCATAAGACGCACCTGACCATAAGACGCACCTAGGTTTTAGAGGCGAAAAACAAGGAAAAAAAATATTCTGAACCAATGGACTGCAGACACAATACAGGAGATGACCAGAGACTGCGGACACAATACAGGAGATGACCAGAGACTATGGACACAGTACAGGAGATGACCAGAGACTGCGGACACAGTACAGGAGATGACCAGAGACTGAGGACACAGTACAGGAGATGACCAGAGACTGAGGACATAGTACAGGAGATGACCAGAGACTGCGGACACAGTACAGGAGATGACCAGAGACTGCGGACACAGTACAGGAGATGACCGGAGACTGCGGACACAGTACAGGAGATGACCGGAGACTGTGGACACAGTACCGGAGATGACCAGAGACTGCGGACACAGTACAGGAGATGACCAGAGACTGCAGACAGTGCAGGGAATGACCAGAGACTGCAGACAGTGCAGGGAATGACCAGAGACTGCAGACAGTGCAGGGAATGACCAGAGACTGATGACCTTTGGGGAGGGAGGGGGAGCGGGTACCTGCTCCCACTTCCGCGGAGTTGCCCTTCGCTCTTCTTCCCGGGCCGGCTTCTGTGACAGCCGGGTGCCCACTGTGCATGCGCGAGAAGCGCTGCGCTTTGTGAATGGCCCGGCGCCTTCTGGGACCTGTCATGTGTCCCAGAAGACACCGGATCATTCACAAAGCGCAGCACATGCGCAGTGGGCACCCGGCTGTCACAGAAGCCAGCGCGGGAAGACTGTGCAGCGCTGGAGCGAGGAACAGGTAAGGCCCTGCAGGAGAGAACAGCTGAGCGGCCGGCCCGGTATTCTGACATGGTGGCGGCAGAAATACCGGACCGGGCGCTTTATATTCGCTCCATAAGACGCACTGACATTTTCCCCCCTTTTTTGGGGGGAAAAAAGTGCGTCTTATGGAGCGAAAAATACGGTAATTGACAGCCAAATATCCTATAAAATATTTAGCTAGAATTAATGTAAATGCAGTAGCAAAAGACATTATGAAAACCCTAGCTGACACAATACAAATTTATAGTTTGCTTAAATATCTACTGCTTTTAAGTGCGCTATTCCACCCAGCTAGCACTGAACTATTGAAAAGAGTGCAGGATGTAAGAAAGATGGTCCAAGCTCGACTTTGATAACTATATTCAAAGCTGAACCCCAAGCAGATATACAGTAAAAGACATAAAACAGTGCAGATCTGTTCTTATGAATAGATTGTTATACTGTATGTATTTTGTGCTATCAGGGAACAAGTTGATAGGAGGAGGGAGCAGTGTTACAGAGGGAAGAGCTCATCAGGCTGCTGCTTCTGCTTTCACTGTCCATTCACTGTCTGGGGAACGTATTGGGGACAAGACCTGTAAGTGTTACTTGACTACAGCAGAGAAAAATCCGGTCTGCTGCCTTATCAGACAGGGCTGTGTTGTGAGACAGAACTGAATAAATCTCAACTGCATGGACAGAAATACCAAGGCTTTAGAAGGTTAAATAGCTCTCATATATGTATTTAGCTGTTTCCTGAAATCCAACATATGCTAGATACACACCATACAAGACTTGATGTATATTTATGTGAAGGTTGGTTTTCACCAGCATAATTCTTTATCCTAGAATATTTACTTTATACAGAATTACAACTCATGGAATTTGGATTTAGCATGATACATCTATAATTGCTGTATTGAGGTTTGAGCTCAGAAGGTGCTCTTAAAACTGTATTACAGGAGAGCCCAGGATTATTCTTAAAATACCATTACAATGCTAGTTTTAGTTGGGGACAGATTTCTTTATTTTGGAATTTAATATACTGTGTTCAAAACTGTGGATGTTTTGTGAAGTGCAATTAAAGCACATAAAAACAATTCCATTGTATACCAAGCAAATAAGATTTGTTCCCACATAGAAAAAGAACATACGTTTCATGTTTTGTCTTTGGCTTTCTAACCACTGATTTACATACAGTACATGTATGGACTCATGACAAGTGACAATATCGAAGGACAGTGCTGGTCACCAGTTAGCTGTATAGAAAAGATATTTTTGAAAAGCCAACTGGATATACTCTACACTGAAAAAAACCCCCAACAAACTGTCTGCCAAGGTAATTTGACTTTTTAGAATAATGGTTAGGAATAGAGATTTTTTCCACAATTGTGAATATGAAGCATAATGATTGTATTGTAAATGGAAAATCTAATATAGACATATATTTTCATTGCGCTGACATAGGATGACTCATGAGGTTTTCCATGCCCTAGAGTTAAATCAACAGAAAATTTGTTTTTCAACTTTATTTTGTGCATTTTAGAAAGTTTTACGACATTAAGCAATGTGGCAAAGTCCCAAATGAATGCTTATTGTAAAAGAAAGGTTCTCTGGATTGAAAAAATAAGAAAAAGTGAAAAAAAAAGAAAAGAGAATACGCATTCACTATAATAAAATGCTACAAATAACATTGAGATGGGCCTACAGGGGTCTTTCAAATTAAAACTGGATCCCAAATAATAACTTGTAATATCATAGACATGAGACTCATCATTTTATGCACTGTATGTTGTGCATACTGTGCAATACATGCTTGCTTTACTTTGAATGTACTAAAATTGTTAAAAACTCAATGGAACTAATGTGAAAGAGAAGTAAAACTCATCTACAATCTTCTTATAAATTACAGGGAAATGTTGATCCTTTTTATAGCAGTAATCATAGAAACACCTATGTCTGCATTGCCATGCCAGCACATGTGATATCTATCCTCCCAGGCCATCTAAAGTGTATTTCAGTGACAGGATCACTGTTTTTTCTTTAATGTTGGAGCCAAAGTGGAGGAAAGGTTCATCACATTTTCCTGGAGCATCATTCTTTGTGAATTCATAACTACAGTACAGTATTTGTCTGCAGGTGGTATAGCTTACATTTCTTAAATGTGGTAGCTTCATTTGTTTTCCCTTTTTAGGCTTTGTTTTATTTTTACCTGGTGATCTGGGGTTTATGTACTAAAGCTGGTTCACGCAGAATCTTG